TCTTATCCCCAAATACACTGACACAATATCCTCCAGGATAAAGTCAAGCCATAATAAAAAATTTTTAAAAAAAAACCTTACTCAGGCTATGTCCTATTTTTGCTGTGAGCTTCCGATCTTTACAGCCACATATGGTCTAAAGAGGCCGACTGAAATGTTCCTTCATATATTTTTCCATGTGCATTTGCTTGTTCCTAATCAGGGTGAATGAATGGCTAAGCAGTGAGAGGCGCTGTTGCCATTTTTGCAGAATCCTTATATTCAGGAAGCTCAGATCTAAGCCACACTGCAAAAAAACACTTCAGCTGATCCTTATCTCATTTACATTTGATTTATGGGCTGCTTATGGAGCCACTTCGGCCAATAGAAATCCTTCAAATGTTTGCATAACACTACTAAATCAGCAATTGAGTAAAATGAAACATGTAAGTAAACACAGCCATAGGGCGCTACATAAACGTACTTTATGTTATTCATTAAGGGGATAGGAACTTTAAAGAGTGAAATTAAAGTCAGTGTGATGACATTAGGCTGACTGAGATTATGCATTTGTGTCAGAATGTTCAGTGATGGGAGTCGCGTGTCAGTGTGCGGGGCATGCAGTGCATTAAATCATGACAGTGAGCTTAAGCAGGGGGGGTGTACTCAGGATTTGGGTACATGCACTTGTGAGTATTGCTGTGGATGTGTGTGTGTGTGGATGTGTAGGCAGTAGCAGCGAAAAGGTTAGAGGTTACTAGTGTTTGTGTTTCAGTGTCAGTAAAGTGTGCTCCAGGCAGAGATTTATGATCATTGTGTCTGGGAGGCTGCAGAGTGGGGGGATAATGAAGATAGATCAGAGTGCTATCTCTCTCTCAGGGCACCGCTGGAAACACGGCCTCTCACCCCCTCTCTCTGTTCTCGTATCATTAACTCCAGCCTGTGACATCATAACGCACTGCCCTGACATCAATCCTAACACAGTGTGCTCTGACAAAAAGTCGAAAAACCGCACAGAGGCTGCTCCTCACATGAAATGAGCAGCCTAACGCAGGCATTGTCGTTTCACCAAGCTCTGCAGCATCTCTGGGTGCGTTTATGAAGACATGAAATATTCATGAAATCATCGTACTCGGTCGTGTGTTTCCACTTTGGATTCGACGTATTTGCATTCATGGAGGCTACGGAGGAGAGGCCTGGGGCTGGTTGGCAGAGGCAATAGCATAAAAAAAAAAGGCAGAGAGGAAGGAGGAAAAGGGGGGATGATGAAGAGAGCAAAGGAGGGAGGAAGTGAGGTTAGAGGGGTTAAAGCGAGGGGGAGGAGAGAGGGAGCCAAGAGGTACAGCGAACGTGAGAGTAAGGGGTGTGAAATAGAAAAAAAAAAAGAAGGGGAAGAAAAGATGGAGAGAGGGATGATGGGAGGGAGAGGGGGTTGATGAGATTGGTGGTGGCAATGTGAGAAGGGGTGCGGGGAGCTGGTGCTTGTGGCGGCAGGTTTTAATCAGTAACAAGATGCCTGTAATGAGATCACTATTTCCCCACATTCAGATTGATGTCATACAAAGTTAGCTGCCACACTGAGACAGGCAGGGACACAGTCACACACACACACACACACACACACACAACATACAAATATACACTTGCTTGCACTTTCTTGGTTACAGACTTAAACACACATCCTGTGAAATGAAGGAGCTCATTCATCCAGCCTGGCAAAGTGCACTCATTTAGAGTCCAACTGCCTTGAAGTTAAAAAAAAAAAAAAAAAAAATACACAGAGGAGTACTACGCACAGGAAAATGAGTTACTCATGGCAAAGGAGAAATGTATGTGTTAGGGACTGAAGGGCACACGCCATAATGTGCTCCTCTACCAAAAACAAAATGAGCAAGAGGGAGAGAAAAAGAGCCAAGAACTTTTTTTTTCTTTTGATTCACAGCAGAAGAAACTAAGGGGAAAAAGAGATGAGAAAAAAACAAAAAGAGTGCGTGTGTGTTTGTGTGCATTTATCGGGGCGCGCTCAGGCCCTTGCACACGAGCGCAAGGGCCCGTTGACCGCCATGTGTGTCCAATGAAAGGTGAACGGCTCTCCTGTCTATACTTTCCTCAAAAATCAGCCATGATGTCACCATGAACCCATCTTGAACCCACCTCTGTCAAAAAGCATTACTCCAGCCCTCCCTCTCTTTTTCTCTCTGCCTCATTTTCTGTTCCACCTCTCCCTCCTTCATGCTGCACTCCTGCCTCTCCAATTCTTCACTGAGCTCCCATTCTTTTTTCATATTTCCATATTCTTCAACATTTCCCCTCTCCCATCCATGTCTATTTTCTTCACAGATTCACTCTCTCGCTCGTTTTTTTGGCAAGCATGGTCTAATTGAATCACCAAAGAGCGTAGTCTTTTGCCAAAAATGCCAGGATGTTCTGATTATCATAAACTTTGTTTAAGCTGTGGTTTCACAAAGAAAAATGCTCAGAGTGCACAAGGGGGAGCCAAAAAATAAAAAGAGCAGAAAAAAATAAGGAATAGGGGAGAATGCAAATGAAAGAGGGAAAAGGAAAGAGAGAGGGAAGAGAGGGGTGGTGGGGGCAGCGAGAAGGCAGCCAGAGAGCCACATATGGAAGTGATTCTGTAATTACTGCAAATCTGTGAGCTCAAAAGGAAAGGTCTTCTTTTCCATGCCTCTTTCCCTGCACATAAAACTGCCCTTGTGAGAAAGTTGGGCACTAAATACTGAGCAGGAAACATGGAAAAAAAAAAAAAAAGACAAAGTTTTCATTGCTTCTTCTCTTTGGCATGACGGGTAGGTATATAAATATGTGTTTAGCTATATGTTCAGAATGTTGAGTTTAAACTCATGTCTGCTTCTGCTTTTCTTCATGGATGATGGAGGGAAAGAAAAAAACTATCTACTGATCATGAGGCTAATTCCACACAGTCTACTTACTACTGGAAAATTTTCTGCATTCTTTGCTCATTTGCCTTGCTTTCCTGAGCTTAATCAACCGTCCTGGAAGCTAATCTAAAACAAACTGGGAGGTTTCAGACTGGAATAAACTAAAGTCTCTCACCAGCCACACACACCTACCTGGCATCAACCACATAAAGCACACATTCAACACGGTGCGTGAGGGAGGGGGTGGTACGGGGATGAGTGACAGATAGGCTATACAGACACAGAAACAGACAAGACAGTGATGAAGACTGTCTTTTAAGCCTCAGGCGAACAAGTGCTTTGCAGGTGTGTATGTTGGCAGCGACTTCTGTTCTGCTGAAGTCCCCAAATCGTTTGAGCAGCCTGTAATTATCTGGTGCCCTCTTTGCCATAGCGTGCTCTCTCTCTCTCTCTCTCTCTCTCTCTCGCTCACACACGCACACACGCACGCATACGCACGAACACACACAGTAAACATACCCAGTCTGACGCAGCTAAGTTGGACAACGTTTATTCTTAGACACGTCCAATTAATCACGGCATGAGATGATTTATACATAAGTACAAAGCATTCCTACCTTCTTCTCTCACAGAAGTATGTGCCTCAGCTTCAAAAGCTAGCACGTTCGCCAAGGACTCTGAAACGTAAATAGTGGATGCCAAGCGCCCGCAAACCGAACTTTCCTGTGAAGGAGATAAAGTCATTGAGTCTCTTGAGAAAGTTCCTCTGTTAAAGCACAAGGAGCGTGTAAATATCACCAACTCGTCTTCTACGCGTCGGAGATAAGTCAGTCATTAGTCAGAGTACCTTGGTTTGTTGCCATTCCGTCTGTGTCCCGCCGGCAGCTCAGGGGCGTTGATGGGAGCGAAGATTTCTGACGCTCTAACTCCCCCTAGTGACCAGAAGAGGAACTGAAGTCACAGAGAGTAGCACGTTGGTCACAGAGGATGAGACGAGAACTAAACCACCGAGGAAAAACAATCAGTAAGGTGACTGTGTCATGTGCATGTATGCGAATTAAAACCTGGCGGTGTTTGCCGTGCACGTGTCTTATTTGAGCAGAACCCAATTCATCTTTGAGCTAGAAAAATGTATTTACTGTAAAAGTATGTAATATATGAAAGGGAATTAGGAAAGTGGTTTATAGATGAGACGACCAGTCATTACAGCAGTTTGTAACAAGATGAAATAGGTAGTGAGAAGAAAAGTAGTCATATTACAACCCGTTTTTTAATTTTATTTACATTTTAGATATGTTCATATTTAAGGTAAAACTAATCTGTAATCTAAAAAAGGAAACATTTTAAACATCGTTGACAATATGATATTTTGTGCCATAGCCTACATGGTACTCTTATAACCACAATACAAAAAAAGAAATCAATCAATCACACCATGGACATTTAGGGAAAGCTGACTGTCATGTGAAACATGACTGTCCGGATAGTTAAATAGGTTAAATAGAATCCTCTGCTTATGTGTGAACATCAAGAACTGCCACTAAGGGGCGCTTTCTACAAGCCTAGTGCATTTGGTCCTGCATGTTCAAGTACGTCTAGGCTACAGATAAAGTTTTTTGCTCACACTGAGACACTTCACAGAACTTCTTGTTGCGCAGAATTTTTTTTTACATTGGGTTTAAAATGAAAATGAATTTGATAACATTGACTCCATCTTCAAACTCCTCGAGTAGGTCTATAGTATTGTTTTTAAGCAATAATAGTCCCATGTGTAGACATACACAAATATAGGCATTTCATTTATCAGGTCGGTTTTAACACTTAAGTTGAAATTTGATTTCATCTGGCTGCAGCTGTATTGATGCGTGCGAGAGGTCCAGTTCCGGATCTACAGTTTCCTTTGGCACATGCGGGCTTTAAACTTGGCTCTGGTTCGTTGTTTGGCATGTTTCAGTGTTTACCATCCGTTTGCAGGGCTGTCTGTCAGTGAACAGGCAGTCACGGTGAGCCACGCCTATTGTCCATGTGCTTCACCCTCCAATCTCTCCATCCCTCCGTCCCACGCGCTCTGTAGTTTGCATAAAATGTGTATCAGTAGGGCAGCGCTCTAAACTGCACATGCAGAGCGCACATGTAGCGTGGCTTTACTGAACACATACCACGCTCGAATAAGCGCATCAAAACTCCCCTCAGCCCCAGATCCCCGCCAATGAAAATGCACAAAAGCGTGACGGAGAGAGAGGGAGAGAAAGGACTCCGCGAGATACAAAGAGTGCGCCAAATCCCACACAAACGGACACAAGTTGAGCGAGCGGAAAGGCGGTCACATTTCCTACTCACCTGCAAACGTGATTGATGTGGGAGTTTGTATCAGTGGGTGTGTATGCCATGCCTGACGCTCACAGATACGCTGACTCTACTTTCTTGGAATTCATGACAATCTTTTAATCTTCGCTCGTGCAGCATTACACTCAGACACTCAGACGGAGCAGCAGTATCCAGAACGCAGAAGGCACCCAGGTATCTTTGAGAACACCAGCCTCTGTAACTCACCTCTGTCAGACCAGAACTGAGCACCGACAGAGACACCAGCCTTCAGTTTCCTGGGAGAAGAAAACAAAACTTTACGCGCACTAGGCACCTCTCCATCACTGCTTTTCTTTATTTTCGCTCTATGGAGCAGGTGTTTTACACAGCGACGATTCTTCACTTTCTCACCTGCCTGCAAAAGACTTTTGCTCCAATCTAGTGACTTTAACGGAGGTCTGTCTCTTCAAGTCTGCTAACAGTTATCGACATCAATCAAGAATGGATAACAGTCCTGGTGGTAAGTTTAACTTTTATATTTTATGTGACAATCTCTTATTACAATGCTGGCTATGACACAGAGACATATTGAACAACATTTCATTGTTAAGCGCTTCTATTCAGGTTTTTATCACTCGATAGGGAAATATATATTTCTCTTATTTATCAACATTTTGGCTGATTGGAAATGTAAGTTTAATATTCACTTTCGCACCACAAGTACATAAGTGGATATTTTGTTGTACAACCTATACTGTGAATTTTTATCAAGTGTATGAAAAAGTGCAAAAAAATGTAAATTTTACATTTTTTTGCATTTGCATTTACATTTTGCATTGTTTTATTGGTTATTATTATGTGCAAATAACATATGGGCTTGTACACGAAATCAATTTTTAGAAAATAACTACCTCAGCTCGTTTCAAAGATCGACTAAATTGTAACAGTGTCACTTTATGCAAACGTGTCCAAAAGTTATTGCACTACGTTCAAATGTCAAATCACAGCGCCAACACTGCAGCTCTCACTATTTGGTCAGAGCGGGGCTGGCCATTTCCTGCTACTCTCCATGAAAACAAACTCACGTGGATCTACAGTACACTGGCTTTTACTGTAATCACAATCTGTCAGAGCCCGCACATTAGAACTGTCAATCACCTCACTTAGGAGGGGAAAAAAAACAAACAAAAACTTTGGCATAAGGGGCGTGTTTGTTATGATCAGGCCACCACTTGAGTGCCAGCAGTATAAAAGTTGATAACCCGCAGGGTTTCCTCACGTTAAGTGGCATTAGGCAGCGTGTGATCGAGGTCAGCCAAAGGTGCACGAGTTCTGCATCCTCTCCTTATTGACGGTGAATCATTTACAACAGCCACAGTCACGTTCCAGCACAGGTGATGGGCGCACCCTGTGATCCTTTAACATGTTACTCTGATCAACCCAATCACCGGGTTGTGATATGCTGATAAAGTGGGCCAGTGTTGCAAGGAACAAGCAGTCAAAATCGAGATCACAGCTAATACCTCTCTGTTGGTCTTTTGTGATGTTTGGTGTTATGGCTATACTCTTTCATATAAATGCTTAAAAAAGAAAGACAGTGCATCTTTTTCCTTTCAACAAGTCTTTTGTAAATGTTCTTTCTATCATATATCCCACTTAAAAACGTTGATGGAATGCACATGACTATATATGTTGAGTTCAATATACAGATTTTAACAATGCCTGGCAATATTAGGAGGGCTCGGTGGGTTATAAAGTCAGGTTGATAAAATAAGATTGTGTGTATGTGTGCTTGCGAGTGTTGACATAAAGCCCCCACTTTACCTCTTTGGGTTGGTAACTCCAATGTTTATTGATGATTCATTTATAGACAATGCCTCTTCATGGCAAAAAAAAACAAAAACATAGTAACAACTAGTTCCAAATTTGGGGAAAATAAATGTACCAAAAAATATTCAAACATGTGGGTCTTCATTATGCAAGATTAGCATATTTGAAAGTGTTTATCAATATGACACCTAATACATCCTTTAACTAATGGGAAGGGTCAAGAGCAGGAGTTAGATGTTTCAGTACTTAGTCTTTTCAGTCAGTAGTTTTCATTTACTCAGTTGCACTATACTACATTACAATTAGCTGTCAAATGGAGCTCATATAATAAGATCATAAGGTGCAAATTGCTGAATGATTTCAATGTTCACTGCATAAGTCTCTGCACTGTGATCTCACTCATTAATTTTCCTCCGACACACCCATGGTGGAGGCTTTCTGCATCACTGTAAGCCCAGTCAATACTTCCAATTCAGTGCGATTCCTCCTTATCAGTTATGGGCTATTATTTCTTTTGGTGCACCGTTATAAAACGGTTGACAGAAGTATACAGACACAAGTCCCCAACAGGACAAGTGTAGCCAAGGATGCAAATGACTCCATAAAGTCAACTTTCAAAAATACTTGTGCCGTTAATGAGCAAATCACAATAGATTGTAAGCTTATCAAATAAGTTGTTAAATCCAAAGTCTCGAACAGTAGCCTAGGCTTTCCCTCGAAAACACTGGCAAGGAGAATATAAAAATATGTAGGCTACCCTTAAAATGGATCATGACTCCTGAAAAAAAATAAGAGCAGGGTTTATTGGAATCCCCCAGTCACTTGATATAATTTATTAAGAGGAACAACTGAACTGAATCTATTCTCCCCTAACCAGCCTATATATTAAAGTGCTATAGGAGGAAATTACATTGCAAAGCCTTCTATTGTTAAGGCTGTCATCCACCAGAAATAGACGAATGGCATCGACATCTGCATTTTCTTCCTATAAAAACTTGCGACACACTGACACAACAGAAAGGCTACCCTTCTGTTTCCGGATGCAGCGCCTAGCTGACAGTGCAGGCGGTGCAGCAGCTGACAGTCAGATCCCCCCCTTCACCACCACCACCACCACCACCCTCGCATAAAACGCTGCTCTATTTAATTCGGCTCTTTAATTATAAGCCCCTGGCGGACTGTAGAAGCTCTGGCTCATGGCTGGAACTGCAGCTTCCCAGTGAAAGCGCCGTCAAAAGCCTCCTCACGTGGCTTCCTTTGCAGAGCCGCGTGCGGCGCGTGAGATAGCTGGGCCCTCCTCTCCGCCGCTTCCGCGCTCTCACGGACGCTTCTGTGTTGATGCCGCCTGCGGTGATGGTGAGGGAGAGCTTGGTCAGTGGGTCAGCGATTCCGTGCACTAACTTTTTTCTCTCTCTCTCTCGTCACGTTTTCCCGCCTCACGTGACTCCTGTTCAGGCATGAAAGCGTTTTTCCTCTCTCGTTTGAATCACAGTGTGGTGGAAGCTGACTCGATTTTTTTTTTTTTTTTTTACTCTGCAACATCTGTCCCCGACCCCTCGGTTCAGGGCATATATCCGCTTAGGGGGTTTCAAGCTTAAACGTGACTCTGCTGTTAAACACATCTCCTCTCTGTTATGCTGTGCTTTCAAAAAATAGGCTGAAACAGATAGTGGATAAGAAATAAACACAGGTTGAATCTCAAACGATTAAAAAAAAAAAAAAACCACACAATTAAACTTTACACCATTTTTGACAACGTGCATGCAAAAGATGTAGCTTACCACAACCACCATAAAACATGTGGTAGCAGATATTAATCATGTTTATAAATAATAACTATCCTCTGTGATAATCTACTTCCTCTTGATAATTGCACCAGCCCGAGCTGGTTTGGAGAGATGCTTCAGGCGCAGACAGTTCTATGAAGTTCCTGTGATATTGACCTACTTACACAAGCTGGAGTTAATGAAGTCTACAGTGAAAACAAGTAGTGCTCAAAGATCGGCCAAGTTCACAAGCACACAAGAACTCTTGTTGCTGGCCTTTGAATACATAATTCTCTCTTAAAGCAAACATGTTCTATGGCAGCGAAAGTTGTGTGAGGGAATGCAACACAAGGGCAAACAAACACTATGGTCTTCTAAATGTTTTTCTATTTATAGCTGTATGTTCATGTCCCGCATTATGAGGTGCATGAGTGAAAGTCAGCGATAACGCACAAGAAGAGCAGAAAGGAGAGGAGTTGACAGGAGAGGAGTGCTGTGCCTTTGAACTGCTCACGTTTCTCTGCCTGCCTCCGGTCCCAGGCAGATTATTGCTTGCACGGGTAACTATGGTTTAAAATGGGCACTGAGGAAGAAGAAAATTAACTGAATACATATCAAATCCCCAGATGTCAATGAGGAAGCTGACTAATCTATTACAGGCTGCCAATACGAGGAACAAAATTTAGCAACACTGCCAATCACATGATTTATGGATATGCAATTAACAACAGGAGTTTGCTGGCTGTGTACAAACTTAAAAGTTCCAGTAATATTTGCGTTTAAAATAAAGAAACAATGTGTTCCCTCTACAAAATACTGTATGAGAGTGAGGATGGCTGCATGTTTGTAGCAAAACTTTTTTTTTCAATGGGGTTTCCAGTAATATAAATGTAGTCTTTATCTCTACTTTAATTACCTTTCTACTAACACACATGGGAAATGTAGGTGATAGTGTATCGTATCAGCTTTGGATAGTCCAAAGCCGTCTGTAAAAGGGCTTGTTTATTGACCGTGTTTATAGCAGTGGTGCCCTAGGGGTCATTCATAAACTCTTACTGTACATGTGAGCCTTCAGGTGGACATGCAATGTGTTTGGGTGGAGTGGGGAGGGGTTGGGCCACTGACTTTGCATGTAAGCTCAGGAAGCAATTAGGCTCAGGCCTGCATCTGCTGGCTCTGTCTGTCTGTCTGTGACTCTGGCATGAGTCAACAAACCAGCAGCACGTGCTAGTTGAGGGATTATTAATACCTTTGAGCCAAAACAAATAGTCACTGCAACAAAGGGCAACACACAGGGATATACCTACTGCACTCATGCATGAATCACATAATTTCTACTGGCATGGTGAAACCACTAAAATTTGGATGTGAAAATTATTTGAAAGTTAGAATCTTCTGCAAGCAAGTCATGAGTGTCATTTAAATTGGCCCCACATTTGTTTAGCTGTGCTGCAATGCTTAACTTGATTTGAATAGAATTTGTCTCTCTGCGGGTCTCCACTGTACACTGAGTTGTAAGTGTATATTACAGCAGTCGAGTCCATAAAATTGAGGTTTGTCCTTTGCAAAAAAAACGTGACTCACATTCCCCAACTTGTTGGTGGCGCATGAACAGCAGCAGTAGCGGAGGCTTGGTGCCATCTCACGTTCGGGGAGCTTTCCAGCAGTCAGCGCATGTTTGTAAACACAGTTCCGAGTTCAAACTGTTGTGTATTTCAACACGAGACTGCGGATTTGGTTCGGCCAGTAACCGTGTCAGGAGTCCATGCATGTGAGGCGGCGGTCAGGTGTCGTGCTGTTAGCTGGCGCTGGGCACGGTGCCAGGGGAGCGAGGCTATTATTGGAGCGGAGGAGGCAGCAGACCCCGCAGACACGTGAGGCCGTGTCTCAGCTCATCCACGGCGCATGACTACAAGGGAGAGACAGAGGGGAGGGTTGGTGGGGTGAGATGAGCGAAACTTCACTAATAACAACAGCTGGACGACAACAAAAAAAATCTACTTATTTCTCTCCGTTAATAGCCTACTGCACTAGCATGACGCAGGAATTATTTGTAAAAAAAAAAAAAAAAAAAAAAAAAAAAAGAAGCGCTTAGTGGTGCCGCTCGTGCATGCCTGCCTGCGTTGTTGCTGTGCAACCAGCAGTATTTTTAGCGCCCACTTTATCCGCTCGAGCGCACCATTACGCCTGTTACACTCAGGATGAGGCAACGACGCTGCAAACTCTACGAGCTGTCCTTTGCTGCCCAGAGGTTGTGCAACATTACATCACATCCAAAGTTGTAGAGTAGCTGGACAGTAAACCTCACTGTGTTTGCAGCACTTCAATTCATCAACATATCGGCTACATGTAGGGCATACAACAACTAATGCCACCCATAACAGCATCTAAAAGACAGTGTGTACTTTTGTAAGCACATTTAATTTAACTTTTGATCATTATTCCCTTGTCTGTAGGAGGTGGAGTCATCCTGTACGCAGGATCCTCAGGCAGTGCCAGCCCCAGCCCTGGCAGCCCTTCCAGTGGGTACCAGACACAGTCACCCTCTTCACACTCCCAGCCCTCGTCTCCAGAGGAGGTTACCTTCACAGAGATCGGGCCATTTAAACAGAGGTCAGGTGGGTGCACCACCCCGTCCTCAAAACTGGTGTTCCAATTCCCAGAGGTCTACAGTGGGCCCTCAGCAACAGCAGCAGCCCCTCCTCATCATACCTATACTCACCCCATCGTAGGGAAAAGGCCATGTGGGTTCACAGGAACCTTCACAAGTAAGTGTTGTCTTGCCACTTTGATTCATAAGAATTGATAACTAACTTAGTATTTGCAGATTATCTAACAACTTGTTTCCCCTTCCTCAGAGACAGGTGGAATGGTCCTGCTATGCAAAGTGTGTGGAGACATCGCATCAGGTTTCCACTATGGAGTGCATGCATGTGAAGGCTGCAAGGTGAGCCCCTTATAAGAAAAATCAAGCAAAAACTATTGACATTCTATTTTTTATTTGGAGCACCAGTATCACCCTGTATTTTGTTTTTCTGTGTCAGGGTTTTTTCCGACGCAGCATCCAGCAGAACATCAACTACAAGATGTGTGTGAAGAACGAGAACTGTCTGATCATGCGCATGAACCGCAACCGGTGCCAGCACTGCCGCTTCAAGAAATGCCTCTCTGTTGGCATGTCAAGAGATGGTGAGACTTCCTGACACATTTTTCTTTTAGTCAGAGGGACCCTCGTGCAGATCTGCTAGAATGCCACAGTGCTCTGATTAGCCAAAGCAGCAGGGAAATGGGTGGCTTGAAAGAGGCACAGTGCTGATATGTAGGTCTGTGTGAAAAATGTAATGCGGAAAGTCTTTTGAGGTCATGGTGCCAGTAGCTCAGCCTCTCACTTTATCATAAGACAGCACCTGCCTTGCCCTTCTAAGGTGTATTGCGCTGCCAAAGATCTGGCCTTGTATCAGTCTTTAAAGTTTCTAACAGTCTTTCACCTGTCCTTTGCAGCACCCTCTCACTATACTGTTACCTGAATGCTCTGGTTCAGCACAGCCCCCCCCCCCCCCCCGGCCAGTACCCACCATGTTCCCTCAGCTCTCTTACATCTCCCCCTCAGACAATGATTTATGAGAAGAGGAGCCTTGAGGTCCCTGAAGCTATCTATCATCTGGAAAACTGCAGCAAACACAGGAATTATTTTCAGAAATTGGAGCAGGGTCAACTTGATTACCTTGTGTTTGCCCATATAGCATCTTGCTGGAATTAATGAGGGATAGAGCAACAATAAAGCAACTGATGCAGAAAAAAGCCAATCAAAGTGACAGGGTTTATCAGGCGTGATGCTCGCATCAACTGGTTTTAGAACTGATAGCTGAGCATTGATTGATCACCATATCATCGCAGATTAAGAAAAGAGCGCGGCTGACCTAGAAAAACAACACAGAACTGGGCCTATAGTGTTCTCCTGCATCATGACCTACTTGGGAGTAGTTTGCGTGTCTTCTTTCTCTCAGTATGGTTTCTACATATCTCCACCCTCCAGTACCCCGCGTTTGCCTAATCTAGTAAAGAGGTTAGTGTTATTTCTGCATGTGCTTGACACTTCTGGTGCACAGAGAAATAGGTTGGCAAAATACGACTCAATAAGAGAACAAACAGTCAGGTCGACCCTTTTAGAAAAGATTCCAGCACATGTAAGAGACCGCAACCTAAAAACCTAATTTTGCCATGTTACAACTGATACGATAACAGAAAAACCACAGGCAACTGCCTGCAGCAATAAGAAGAACACCCTGATTTCACTCCAGGCAGCTGTGTATGTGTGTTATGGGCAACAATTTAAGTCCATTGACAGAGACAAGAGCATCATATCTAGGGCAACAGCTACATAGTCCGCATTTTCTTCTTTTTTTTTTAAATGATGAAATGGAATAAACTAAACTTTTTAGCAGAAAAATTAAGATATAACAATCACCTTTTTTATTGCTCATAAAATCAAGGTCAATTGTTTTAAATAATAATGCTGCTATACAAATGGTCTGCTACACCTTCAAATGTAGGCATCCTTTAGTTTCAAAAGTCTTTGTAGCTGTACCAGTTCTACTTTTTTACCTCATTTGACTCCACCTTACACAATCACTCACGTAGGCACCCACACACACACACACACACACACAGAGACACTCTCTCACTTCACATTTCACTGTCTCTCACATCAGACCTCTTCACGTTCCCACTACTGTCTTCTCATCTCATTGGTTCTCCAAGCCCACCTCCCTCATCCTTCTCTCTCTCTCTCTCTCTCTCAGCATCTCTGTGCCAGTGACATCACGATCACGTTGCTCCACTGCCCTACTTACAAACAGAGGAAGGGAGCGGGAAAGGAAGGAGATAGGGGTGGTTAGAGGAGAGGATGAGGCAGATGGTAGCAGGGATGCTATAAATAGCCTCTCCAGCTGATGGTTACTGTGGGAAGGGGAAGGTGGATGGTGATATGTGTGGGCAGAAGGAAGTTTTAATCGCAACTTAGATGATTCTGCTTGAAAATGTAAAGCACTTTAGGGTTTTTTTTTTGGTAGTGATGTGTGTCTATGTAATGGGTGACTGGCATAAATGACTATGCAGCCCTAAGTTTCCTTCATGAAAACCACAGCATGGGAAGAATGCAACTGCAACAATCGATTTTCAAGAAAGTAGTTTGTCTTGGACATTAGAGAACTTGTATCTTCATAAATCATTTTAACGCATTAAGAGAGCATATTGTCCGAGAAAAACATAAATACATACAAAATTGGATTTCTGTATTATTGTCTGTGTCATAACTAAATCGTCTTTACTGTTTGTGTCGTCCCTAGCTGTGCGTTTTGGCCGCATCCCCAAGCGAGAGAAGCAGCGACTTCTTGATGAGATGCAGAGCTACATGAACAGCCTAAATGAATCAGCTGCCATGGAAATGGACTCATCCTCATCGAGGGAAACTCCCTCCAGCCCAGAAGATGGCGACTCAAAAGAGGCCATCGGGGCCATCTCCAGAGCCTATTGTGACATTTTCACCAACAGGAACAACAGCAGCCAGGAGAGACCCGCCAAGAGGGCTAACATCCACACCAACAACAACAACAACACATCTCACTTGTCTCAGGATGCTGCTTTTACCCAAGCCTCCTCTCAACCCACCCCCACTCAGAGTTATCAGTCCTGCCCTGTTGCACATGCAGCTCAATGCCCAGTTGCCCCTAGAGACAACCAGCATACTTTCCAAAATGTTGAAAACAATCGCTATGCCTACTCAATGTCAGCTAATCAGAATCACAATCAAGCAAACAACACAACACCTCACAGGAGTAGCTCTGCAAATCACAACAGCTACCGCAATGCAGGATGTCCCCAAAATCAACCATCCTGCCCGTGGAAGTTAGCTCCAGGAGCTAAAGTGCTGGTAAGTGCAGGCAGCATATGCAATTAGATCAACACTTCTGTGGTATATTTTTCTCTTATCAACAACTTATGAATCTTTTTTTTGTATTTTCTCTTCCTTTTAAAGGCCTGTCCTCTCAATGCATGGCCTGTGTCTGGACCAGAGCGCTCCAGTCAGGATATTTGGGAATCCTTCTCTCAGTGCTTTACTCCTGCTGTCAAGGAGGTGGTAGAGTTTGCCAAGGGCATCCCAGGATTTCAAGAGCTTGGCCAACAAGACCAGGTCATGCTGCTTAAATCAGGCACCTTCCAGGTAAAAGCAATCATTACTTTTGCTTTCCTTTTTTGCAGAGCGTAAATGAAAAATATTGGATTCCTTCTTTATGTATACAATTGCATTATCTATATTAATTCCTTTGCTTGTCTCTGTTTCATGTGTGTTTAGGTTCTGATGGTGAGGTTCAGCACCTTGTTTAATGCCGGGGAGCGTACGGTTACCTTCCTGAACGGCCAAACGTATCCCCTCTCCTCCCTGCATGCCTTGGGCATGGGATCTCTGCTGGACGCAATGTTCGAGTTCAGTGAGAAGTTGGGCTCTCTGGGTCTGGAACCTGATGAGATGGCTCTTTTTATGGCTGTGGTGCTGGTTTCTGCAGGTGAGACAGAGGGACTATTTACTTAATTTGAACAGTGAAACTTAATGAATGAACCAATGTTATAGTAACTGTGTACATGTCAAACACTCACATTAGCTTCTTATGTCCTCCTCAGACCGTTCCGGCATCTCGGACATGCGGGCTGTGGAGCAGCTTCAAGAGGGTTTGATCCGAGCCCTACGGTCACTGATCACCCGACGTCGCCCTGATGACATTGCCCTCTTTTCAAAACTCCTCCTGCGCCTGCCGGACCTGCGCACCCTCAACAACCTGCACTCTGACAAACTGTTGGCCTTTCGCATCGACCCCTGAGCGGGCCAGTTGCTATGAGAGCCCACAGACACAAACTGTTTAGCTAAAAAATATACAGGCGCATCACACACAGACACACTTCCACACATACTTTCTTCCAAGGGCAGGACCTTCTTGAAACAATGAACAGTGCAATCTGAGGAGTGATTTTCGGAAGGAAAAATGGGGGCGGTAGCGATCTTCTTCCTGATTCGTTATTGCTCTTTTTGCTTCATGTTTTAGGACAAATACACATAAACCTCAACATCTCTTGAAGACATCGTTCCAGTTTAAAATGTAATTTTGTGTAGAGTAACTACTACCCTTTTGGATGCGTCATTTGTGCACCTGCTCATTATATCCAGTGTATTTAAGAATTAAAGCCAGTTCACTTCTGTTTATTCCTTAAGTCATACAGTATCAACAAGCTATCACCAAGAAGCAGATGAGAGATGGATATCATAGCTCCAAACTGTTATTACTTAGGGACCATAATAAATGATGACAACGTTTCAGTTTGTGTTTAAATCAAAGGGAACTTGTATATAATACATAATACAATCTGAAATAGTAAGGCAATTGTGTAACACTGTTTCATAAACATACCATCTGAATTGGTACTGGAATGAGACCAATTCATTAATGTGTCACATTTTGGATGCTTTCGCTCTCTTTATTGTTTTTGACAGATCTTCCAGAAAAGACTTGGGTTAAAAATGTGCCAACTTTATAAGTCCATGGCATTTCATTTTATTTCCCAAAACATGCATCTGTGTTGCTATATTTTATCACATCTGGGCTGATGGAGGTGCTCTATGCATGTCGATTTTGTGGTTCCTTTGTTTGTTTTCGCTGTAAATAATGTGTTTTTACAAACGTCTATGTCATGATGACTGAACTGCTATGTTGTATCGGACAGCTGAGTTCGGTATGAAAGAAGAATGTACTGACCTTGCTGTACTAGGTGGGGGTTTTGCCATGCCAAAGGGGCTTTGCAAAGGAGGATATGAACTGGTAGTTGTCAGATGGTTTAGACACACTTTAATGATGTAACCAACCAGCATAATCCCTGAAAACACCAGCATTCACTCCACATGCATCCTTCCTCTGCACCCAATGTTTGTCATACAAACTAAAGAGATATTTTTTGGATGAGAGATATTTGTTGATTGGTCCTCTGACTGTTTGCTTGTTTGATTATGGATGATTGAGGACATCTTGTATATTTTGTAAATCTGTATTCCTTAATAGAAATGATATAAACTTCAGATTATGTATCATTCTGCCTGTGTGTCTTTTTCTTGTAATTAAGAGTTAATTTAAGCAAAAAACAAAGCCATGAAAAAAGATATTGTACGTCGCTAGGACAGAATGATATAGGCTAACTTAAAGCAGCACATAATATTACTAGAATTGAATAAAGGCTAGTTTGATGTAGGCCAATAGGGCCCCATCAACCCTCAACGTGGCCCTCAGGTCAATTTTTACATATCAACTAATTGGAAACATGAAGAAAACATGACAAAATCAGCCATGAAATCATGAAAACCAGAAATATGTCCATAATAATATTAGATCACTGGCATATGTCGAGTTAAATTTGAGACATAATTGACTGTAATCGTTTTTGTATACTACAATTTGGCCCTCTGGCAGTGAGAATTAATTGAATGTGGCCCTTGCTGTGACCAAAGTTGCCCCATCCCTGAGGTAAATCAGGAACTTACTCATGTTTATAACATCTATACTACTTATTTGTGCATGCTAGTTACATGGAAAGCAGGTTGCCTTCAAGGTAACAAAAAAAGACAACCCTCAGCATTGAGCTAAAAATAAAAAAAGAATGGAGAGAGAGACGATTTCATCAGAACACTAAATCAAAACGACGAACTGTTATAAAAGAAGAAAAAAAAATCCAACCTCAGGAATGAATTGGCTCTCCAAGAAACCTGGGATGTTTGGAAACATGAAGCAACTTCTGCTACAAGAAAAATGCAGCGTGAGAGTGCCACCATGTGGTGACGTGCTAGAAGATGCCGGAACCCGGAACCCGGATCCCGGAAGTGAAATGGTCTGTTTGCAGCTGAAGGCACAGTTGTAGTATCTTACCCCATCACTTAGTAGTTATATATCACATTGGTACGTCGTGAAATTAACATGGAATCCCTGTTAAACAGCACGGTAAGTTATATTATACACCCTGGTATGGAACAGTAAAGTGAAAAACTAAATTGTAAGTCTAAGTAGTAGGAGCTCCTTACGTTAGCGTCAGGTGAATAACAGAATCATGCAGGTACGTTTGAGCTCTTAATTACGAGTTTAAGTAAACTAATTTAATTTCGTTTATGTCGTTCTGTTCCGAAAAGTAAGAGCTTTTTTTTAGCCAAGCAAGTTACCCTAGGAATAAACATTTTCGAAATAGTTGAGCGGTGATGTAAACTCTTTTCTTTTCCTGCACTACTAGTTCATCTTGTTTCGCCTCACAGGTGCTGAGGAATATAATTACACGCGTGGAAAACGTTCCAGGACTTCAGGTTTGACCTCCAGCACCTCCTGGGTGCAGCGGTTCATCACACCATGTTGGTGACGGCGTATTTTGCCATCATTTGTCTGCTTGTCCTGTGTGTTGTCCTGGAGCTGACAGCACGCCGCCTCACGCCACCTCAGTCCACTCCCACTGCTGTGGCCAACCCGGCTTTCCGTCGCTTCCAGAGTATATTCCTTCGGGCGTACCTGTTGGCTCTGTGGGCAGACTGGCTCCAGGGTCCTTACCTCTACAAACTCTACCGCCACTACAGCTTCCTGGAATCCCAAATAGCCATATTGTACGTGTGCGGCCTGGCCTCCTGTGTTCTGTTTGCTCCTATTTCAGGTTGGCTCCCTCAAGCTTTGGGCCGCAGACGGACATGCCTTCTCTTCTGTCTGTCCTACTCTGCTTGTTGTCTCACCAAGCTGTCCAGAGACTACTTCGTTTTGATTGTGGGACGGGTCCTGGGAGGTCTGTCCACATCCCTGCTTTCAACAACATTTGAATCCTGGTATGTGCATCGCCATGTAGACGTCCATGATTTCCCCAAGGAGTGGATCCCCAGCACTTTCACCAAAGCTGCGACCTGGAACCATGGGCTCGCTGTGGGAGCGGGCCTGGTGGCCAACCTACTGGCCGAGTGGCTACACCTTGGGCCAGTGGCTCCCTTTCTCCTGGCTGTTCCCTGTCTAATGTGCTGTGGCTGGGTGGTGCTGACAGACTGGGGCAAGGAGGAGGCTGATGAGACTCCAGAAAGTGACAAACAAACGTTGCTTCTTGGCACTGCAGGTGTGACCCGTCTGTCTGCTAGAGCCCGCTTCTCCCGCAGTGTCCACGACGGGCTGCGCTGCCTGCTGTCAGACAAGAGAGTGATGCTCTTGGGTGGTGTGCAGGCTCTTTTTGAAAGTGTCCTCTACATTTTTGTTTTCCTTTGGACCCCAGTACTAGACCCACATGGACCTCCTTTGGGAATAGTGTTCTCTTGCCTGATGGCTGCTAGCATGGCCGGCTCCCTGCTGTACCGCCTAGCCACTTCCACGCGCTACCGTCTACAGCCTGGCCATGTTCTCTGCCTGGCTGTGCTGATGGCCTTCTTCTCCTTCTTTATGCTGACCTTCTCCACTGCACCCGGCCAACCAAGACCTCATGAATCCTTTCTGGCCTTCCTGCTGCTGGAGCTGGCCTCTGGTCTCTACTTCCCTGCTGTCAGCTTTCTCCAGGGCAGGGTAATCCCAGAGGAGAAGCGGGCTGGTGTGCTGTCCTGGTTCCGGCTGCCACTGCACCTGCTGGCCTGTCTGGGGCTGCTGGCACTGCATGGGGAGATTTCAGGAACAGGTGGAGGAGAGGGTGGCACCGGCACCAGACACATGTTTGGAGGCTGTGCTGTCATGATGCTGGCTGCTTTGATGGCTGTAGTCAGTCTGTTCACACTGGGCAGGAACGACACAGACTTGAAGCTAGAGGGAACCAGAGGGGAGGGAGAAATGTACTGATGTGAAAGACCGTAAATCGGTTCGTGCTTTACTGATTTAAGATGTATTGTGCCAGTGGTATGTGTCTGAGAGAAGAAACCTAATTTGTTTTACGTTACATTTCAATTGAATTTCCATGTTTATGTGTTTGCCTTGATACTTTTTTTCAGGAGGATCTTTTTAACTAAAATTCTCAGTTGTGGAAAGCTTTTTGTACATGGCCATATATGAACCTTCATCTGTCAAGTAAATTGCTGGAAGCTTTGTCAGACATGTCCATAACCTTTTTTTTTTATCATTCTGTCGACCTACAAGAAGATTGGCTGATGGGGTTGCCAAGATGCATGACTTTTCACCTGTGAGTTTCCTCATGTGGATCAGTAATGCAGTTCCATTCCATCATATTCTTAAAACACTCACAAAAAGTGAGATCAGTGAGTATCCAGAGTAATGGGGTAATAACTAATGTAAACCATTTCTGAAAGTCAGCACTTATAATACTTCTCCACATGTACTTGGATTCCTGTTTTCTTATTTTTTCCAAGTGTTTGTGTATTGTATTTTAAGTAAAAGAGAAATCATTAAGTCAGTTTTACTTTGTTTTTTTTTCAGCACCCTTCCCCTGTATTGTCTGAACATTCTCTCTTCCTTTCCACTCCTAAATAAAAGTGTGCATATTGTACATTTAATTTATATTAAATTTAGTTTTCATTTTGTTGCTTATTGAGGTGTTACAATAGGTAGTTTAATGCAAAGAGGCTATCTACATTTGAAATTCTTCTAGATTTTAGCTACAGACCACAATTTCAGACTTTTTTTAGGCTTTTTCCCTCAAAACACATCAGGTGGTCACCATCCTCCCCTTTAATTTGGTACTGTGGTACAGTCCCATCTCTGCTCTATGGCGCAGTTTCACCTGGATGTTACTAGAACATCTCTGAGGGAGGGGGATTTGCACGAGTCTTTAATGCGTTGTTTTGGGTAGCATATCGTCAGTGTTCAGTCTGAGCAAGCTACAAGAGCATCGTTTATAGATTTACTTATTCAAGATCTACATTATTGAGAAAGGAGAAACCAGAACCCCATTGACTGGCATCCCGAACAAGACTATACCTACTTCAGGACGTCACAGAGGCATCATGACGCATGGCAAGGTATACGTTTATTTTATTTTATTGTACCAGTCAATTAATCTCTCTGTCCTTTACCGCATCTCGTCTCTTCTATGTTTTGTATTTCTGTATGGGGTCTAAGTTGTTATGTAACAGTAGAAATGTGTGCGTCGCCACTCCATCCTCTTAGTCTAACTTGACAAGTGTTTCAGGGCAATATACGCAATTCTGAATCCCAAAATCCTCATGACGCAGTCTCTCGGTATTATGATGATAATGATTTGTATAGTGGGACATTTTATGACGAAGGTGTCGTGCCCAACTGTAGACTATAGTATTTCTAGCCGACGTTACCTCACCGGATTCAATGGCTGTTAAGCAGAGTAGTTTATTTATGGTATCTCTATCCTGTCGATATATTTTATTCATGCAGATAGTCTATACTTCTTTGCCTTTTGGTTTAAACTGACTTGGAAAAACGTGTCGCACTTCACTATATTACATAAGCTATTTTAATATTATAAATAATTATTTTTCTTCAATAACTCTAAAATGTATTAGTTTTCTGAGTAACTTATCCTAACTCACTTGGAAAAATTAGACAATTACGTAATTTGTGTTATTATTTTAATTAAATATTTATTTAAAAAAAATAATAATAATTCTTTAAAAAAAATGTGTGACCTTGTGTCTTTAATTTAACAATATCAGTGAAATATTCAGTTGGAGAAATAAGACACACCACATCTTGTTACATATTAGGGTTTTTATCTGTTTTCATTTAAAAAAGATTGAACAATTTAATGTTTTTTTGTTCAACAATTCTTGACCAAGTGTCCTCAAATCAGTATTAGACATCAATACTGACTTGGTGAACTGAGACACACCTCATTATATATATATATATATATATATATATATTTTTTTTTTTTTTTTAAATAAAATAAAAAATAGTGTATTATTAATTATTTATAATTTTTTCAATATCTTGTCATGTGACCATAATCCTAAAACCAGTGCAAGACGTTAATTGTCACTGCGTGTTATACGTCATACATGATTGTATTACTTGTGATTTCTAATATTTTTTTAATCCATATTCATGATCAATAATTCATAATTATGTTGTTATCCCTCATGGGATGTGACCCAGTGTCCTCAAATAAG